TGCGCCTGCTGGCAGATCACCTTTGAGCGCCGCAATCAACTCTCGGGCGTTGATTGCCTTATCCCAGCCAAACATCCCTTGCTTGCTCCACGGCGTCACGAAGATTCCTGATGCTTAGTAGGGAATGGGGGAATGGGCTATAAGGGACTATTATTAGGGATGATATAGGGACTACTATAGGGATCCATTCCCCCATTCCTTCCTAAGCACCAGGGAGTCTTTCATGGAAGAGGCCCGGGCAGCATCTATTCTATCTCTGCAGTCCTTGGCACAAGCATACATCTACTACTTATCAGTCGTCAGCCTAACTCTTGAAGAACCTGTAAGTCTAGGGTCTAAACTCCTAGTATTCCCTTATACAACGACTTTAGACTAAAGTTCATGTAACAATCTGAGGCCACGACATCGAATCGGACCAGAAGGTCCTCCAGGCCAAGAGTCTTGCGCAGCAGCTCCTCAACCTGCATGGTCACATAAGCCATAGTCCAAACTCGTATTTAATTGGGGTTATATTAAATTGGGACAATGGAAAAGATAATGGAAACTACATAAGAGTAGGTAGCCATCTAATATGCTGTCCCCTATATAATCCCTTATATTACCCCCTTTAAAAAGTTTAGACTACCCCGCGCCATCCCAAAGAAACTTCCACAAAGATCCAGCCTGTTCTGCCGTCAAATTCCACGGATTCCTCAGAAGCATGGTTTTGGCGGATTGGCATCCTAAACCCTCAAGCCTCAACCCTAATTCGTAGTTTCCATTTTCTTTTCCATTATCCGTACACTCCCTATATAACCCCTATATATACCCTACAGAACCCCGGTGTAATCCCTATATAACCCCTTTAAAAGCCCTACACAACCACTATATAAACCGCACATAAACTTGTCCACAGGCAACCCTCTGAGGTTGCAGCGCAGAAACGTTTGAAGGCTCGGTCGGCTCCAGTCGTATGCGCACCTTGCTTTGCAGAGGGGCACTGCGACTGTACAAGTACGCAGAGGAGGCTCAGGAGGCTGTGTGCGGAGCTCGAAGTGCACAGAAAATCAGCGGAAACTGATTTCGCTTTGGCAAGATCCATCTTTCGTCCTGGCACAGCTTCGCAGACGAGCTGCGACAAAGCCCCGCATTCAGCCCAGGGCCTTGGAGAAGGGACCCTTCTCCTCGTCGTAGCAGACGAACGGAACGATGTCGTCGACCTGGTCCTGCCAAAGCGGAACCAGCAGCGCAGCAGGATCACCAGCATCAGCAAACTACGAAACCTCCGCGGGCTCGGCTTCACCTCGGATCAAATGAGCGATTGCCTTCATAGTTGTGAGGCTTCTCAGCTCTCAGAATCTGCCTGCAGAGTCTTTCAATGGATCCAGCTTTGGTTCCTCACACACTGAATGCCACTGGGACGAGTCTCCAAGGGATAGGTAAATGTAAGCGACGTAAGCGACGTATCCACGCCTTGCCAGAAGCTGCTTCTTCCGCCTCTCGAGCCTCTTGAGCTTCGTCTTCGCCAGCGGGAGCGTCTCCGTTCGTCTTGCTTTGCACCGGGACCGCCTGCGAAATGAAACACCAACATGCACCACCATCCCGAAACGTCAGCGAAGTTCATCGATAGAGCAGCAATTAAAGCAGCTTTTCAAAACGAGAAGCGCGCAGGATCCTCACAATAACACAATATGAGCCTATAATCAGTCTAAACTCCTAGTATCCCCTGTAATAACCCTGGTAATACTTCCCTATATTTCCCTATTTAATCCCCTATATAGCCTGCTTGAAGGAGTTTAGACTTAGCTCATATGGGGCTGTCACTGTGGACAGCTCCATCAAGGAATGTTAAGAGCACGTGACCCGCCACGAAAAGCCATCATTATTGGGGCGCATCACAACAATGCGATTGCAAGACAGGTCTCAAAAGCAAAAACAATGTTGTCACGACTAACCTCATCTCAACTACTTCAAAGGGCATGTCTGGCGCTGCGCATCGGCTGAAAATTAGTTTGGCGTTGAAACTCCCACGGGCGAAGCCTCTGCCGTTTCCCTGATCCTGTTCTTCGGGTGAAGCAAGAGGAGGACTCGGAATGAGTAACGCGCTGGAAGGAAGCATGGACAACACGCCTGTACATAGTCCACATAGGAAATGCGCCTAGCCGCAAGAAATCAATCGATTAATAAACTGGCAGCAGGGCAGGAGCTTCTTTGAAGCTGAAGATTTGCCATGTGCCAAATTGTCAAGATCAGACTATAATGGTACAGCTGCTGCTGCAGTCTGCTGCAACTGCTCAGACAGCAATGACAGCGTAAATGTGAATTGAGAATCAGCAAACATGATCTGATAATGCCGAGCGTAGCGTCAGCCAGTCTTGCCGGAGGTGCAGAATTCAAATTTGAACGACCAATATGCAATCAATTGCACAGATCTACCAGCACACGTGTGCAAAGTCACAAGACACCGGTCTCTGCCACTGCTAGCTGTCTGAACTTGTCTGGCGCCTGGCAGAAATGATGTCACTGAAAGTGTCGGGCGCAACTTCAACTTCTCTGCGAAACTGGTTCATGACCTTCAGGTGGCGCTCATGCAGGATGCGATTCGGTTTCAGGGGCACACCTTTCGGAACGTCACGATTCCAAGTTGCAGAGTCCCAGGAGGACTCCATGAGGACGTGGGGCTTTGCGAGGTCCGAAACGGCCCCGCAGCCGTGACCTGCTTGTCCCTGTCCAGCTTTGGCATCATGCGGCTGGACGGGGATACCTGCTGCGCATCCCATAGCTCGAATCCTTGAGTTCACCCTGTTGCGCCAAATGGCAGCTGGAGCCAGAGGTGCAAGAAAAGTAAACCATAAAGTAGGCACATGCTGTCGACTAGGGTCTCATCAAATCTGGCACTTTTTGGAGTGCGCAGGCATCCTTGTTACGGAACAAGCCTGCCTTTTTTCACTATCTTCAAAATCCTGCGCCTCGGCCTCCTTGGATTCCTTCGGCTCAACCTGAAGGGGCTCAACCTGAAGCGGTGGCTGTTGCACCAGGCTTCAGCGCGGGCAACATCAGCAAAGCGACCTCCGCGCCCTCGGGGCCCTCAGCGCCCTCAGCGCTCTCGGCACCCTCGGCGCCCTCGGCGCGCGCACCCATGGCACGCGAGAGCTGGCTCAGCAAGGACTCATCCTGTGATTGCTTCAGAGCTTCAGCTTGCTGGGATTTCTGATTCCAAGCAAAAGGCCTCCACCTCAGCCTCGCCCTCTTCGGCCTCTGCGCTCTCCATGACACCTTTGCACAGCTTTGAGTCTTGCACCACCTTTAGGAAACTCGAAGCAGGCAGCTTCAAGCCGTGTCCGTTTGTCCTGTTGCTACACTCTTGTACCTTCATTTCTGCTCGGCCGCAGGGCACCACATTACACTGAACATTGAAGCTGACATATGCTTAGAAGCTAACAAGCTGCATATGGGGAAAGGGTGACCTCGTCAGGCTGCCAGCATCAAGCTCGGGCCGGTTTTCATGGTAATAGTCCGATATCGTAGCTTATGGTAGCTTGACGTGGCTTTTGCCAGCTTGGCCCGGCTGTAGCCTGAAAGATATTGCATTCTACAGCAACGCGCTGCAACGTACTGCGACGTACTGAGCGCAGTCAGCTATCAAGTATGTTGTGGATGCATGTGGATGCACTTGTGCCGTAATGAGTGCACTGGCTCTTCCATGCTATCGATTGAGTGAGAAGTGGCTGCTGGAGAACATGCCTCTTCAGGGAGGGAATCGAAGCATCCTCAAGTCAGCCGGTCACGAAAGGAAATGCAGTTTTTTTGACTCGCTATTTTCCGCGAGCTTCTGGAGGCGAGAGCTGCACCTGAGTTGAGGGCAGCAGATGCAGGGCCACGATGAGCTAAGGCTACCAGTGCTGGGATCCTGTCACTAGGCCTGCGGCCCAAGCCAAAGGCGAAGCTGTCTTCATGTTATCCGACTGCCATAAGGAGACCTGCCAGGAGCAGAATTACCAACCTGGCCTGAGCTCAAGCTTGAAAGCTCTGCCTCGCCGCCCTGCAAGCCCCACGGATCGAAGGTCACATAATTCGGTCCTTCAGACAAGTTTGTAGCCAGGCACAGGGCACGGTGCTGACGCAAGGAGTTCAGGGCTTTGTTCACTACAGGCATCTAACACATGCAGTCCCAAGAGGTCTCCACCGACCACAAGGACGTGGTGACGTCCAACCTGAGTCAGGTGAGCTGAGCTGGGACATCAATACACATGAATCCACTTCGATCACACCTCTTCCTCCAGCTCCTCCCCACTCTGAGGATCTTCCACCACACCAACCTCCGTGGCCAAACCAGGCAAATTTGCAGGTATATGAACAGTGGATACTCCGGTCTCTAAGCCGTGAGCATAGGACTCAAGCAGGACACAGCAAGCCGTCATGCGATTCCCGACCATGTCCTGCATCTGGCACATGACACATACTGACATCAGAGTGAACCTTTATTTCGGTGTTTGGGCAATTTGGGGGATCAGGGCAAGGCAAGCCTTAGACCGTCAACATCCTTTTTGCCCAGGCGTTTTTCTCGAAAGCCGTGCTGCAGCTTCAACGCTGCACTAACGCAAGCTAATAATGCTCGCTGCCTCGTGCTGCTTTGCAGTACGGCTGGGAGCTCATTCACCTGCTTGTGCTTGCAGCGCTTCATGCCACCGTGATCTGTCCAGCCAGCTCCGCATTCAGCTGCTTCTTCTACTGAATATGACAGGAAAAGCCATCGAAACTGCCATGAATCGAAATCCAGAACCTTAAGCTTCCCGCAACATGGGCATCAGATCAGCCACATCACAGCACAAAGGTCAACAAGAAACCTTGATATGAACCGCCTTAGTAAGCATGCTGCCGAGTGGCTTGCCGCGCGGCTTGCCGGTTTGCAAGACTCATTCCGAAGCCTGGCTTAGAATAGGCACCGTTGATCCAAAAATCCGCCCTCCTACACAGAGCCTGTCTGGCAGCTCGATTTGGACGTGCTCGCTTGTAGAGCACTAGTTCCACCACATCGGATCCCGCGGTAAGCCGATTTTGAAGCCTCGGATCTTTTTTTTGTTCAGTGCTAGTATCGGTCAAATAAGTTGCGGATCTCCTTCGTGGGAACATTGTGTGGCATGGGGTGAGTCGTCGGGCTTACAAAGCTTAAGACGGCTGGCCCCTGCATTCAACACGGCTGCAATGGATACATGCAATCAAGCTTCTTTTCGTCCAACCCCAACTTCTCTTGCCCGTAGATCAAGTGGCAGGTATTTGGACAGATGTGCAGGAGTCCGCACACGAAGTGCTTCAAAGGTAGAATCAGCAGGTGGCGATAACCTAGTTTTGGCACAAAACATCATGTCTCGAGGACTGAATGATATTCGACAGCAAATTCACCGGCTCAGCCATTACTGTTCAGGCAAGTTTCGTGCTTGCGGCAGCTCTAGCAGGAGTTTGCCATTGAGCGATCTCACGTACCTGGCTCTGACATACATTGAACAGCATCGAAGCAATCAAACTAGACATGGCAGTAAAGAGACGGCTACGGCGACTGGCATACGCACGCACTTTGATGAGCTTCGCCTTTCTAGCTTAGGGTTGGATGCCTTGGCAAACCAGGCTGATGACCATGCTAGACAGAGGCAAACTTCCAGAGCCCAAAATTTCTTAAGAGCCGCCTGTCTGCCTAAACCCTAAGCCCTACATAGTAGTCTCCATTTTCTTTTCCATCCCCATATTACCCTAAATAACCCCTATACATACCTTACATAACCCCGGTATAATCCCTATACAACCCCTTTAAAAGCCCTATAAATCCCTATCTTTAGACTATAATCCCCTATATAAT